ATTGGGTAATTTTCAAAGAAAACTGAATTTCAAAAAGCTAGGTTCCTTGTACTAGTAAATTATTTTCTAGTCTCGTTTCACACGGAAGATAATCAAGCTTCTTAGTAGACTGACATTTCCCGCTGATTTTCAAAGCATTGTATTTTGTTTTTCGACTCGTAAATATGATTGATCTTAAAACACGATTTCGAGCTGAAAAAGAGAGAGGAGAATGTGAAGAAAACTGAAAATATCAGTATATCAATATAACGATGACGTTTTAAGGCTTTGCCAAAAGTGTACTTTAAGTGTCTCTTCCGCTTTTAAGAAACAGATCTATTGAGTTATAAACAAAGTTTACATGTTGAATATCAACCATTTCACTGCTCAGTGTAGCTAGAACACCATACCACCTGTATCTAAATTCAATCCATCTTTGACCACGCAATTTGGTCAACACATTTTACGTACCATCAATAAAGGTAGCTAAGATAATAAGGGCAGTATGATAAGAATGAGTTCAATCGATTGCCGTCTTTGAACTTCTCTTCAACGACCACTGATCATTTTAATTCAGGAACGTTAGAACTCAGACCGTTTGGAGGAACTCAGCCAATATAATAAAGATTACATATTGTAATTTCGTGAAGAGCAGTTAAAGCTTAATATTCAGTATATCTCGCGCTCATTAACCTTTGAGAAGGAGTAACGGTTTCTTAGCTGCCGCTTTAAAACGTTGACTTAATTCATGCTTGAATGATATAACGGACGCAAACATTTCCACGAATTTCTGTGGCTTTCACGTTTGTACTTCTAATATCGTGTCTGTACCGGACCCTTTCACGTTTATATGTTTTTTAGTAATGTCATTTAATTTCCTCACAGAGCAAGTTTGATGGTAGCGTTCTTATGAGTGACATGTCTTCGTCTAAGTTCTGCGTAGCTGCTGGCATAATTTTATTTTCTCAGCTCTCAAAAACACACTAGGATCTCTTCACGTTGGAGTTCAATGATTGATAAAGTCTAAGGGCCCCGTCCACTCTTGCCGGAGAAATTTAAAAACGCAACAGTCACCGGTCATTTTGGATTTGTGTTCGAGGAAAATTTAACTCGGGTGGAGAAGTCACGTGATTATCGTTATGCCATCGTTTTCGAAAGTTTCCTTTTTCAAAATGTTTTCCGTTCACGCTAGAACGCAAAGCCGGTGCTTCCACATCCCTCCGATTTGAATAGCCTTTTCGAATTGCTCTGTTTTCGTGACTCATTAGTATGGACGGTACTAGGCCTAACCGAAGACATAAAGCTGCGTTTTCAAATTTCGTCGTCGTGGTGTGGACGGGAATTAACTAATATTAATTCCGTTCCCGTACATTTCTTGTGGTCATGTACATTTCTTCAAGTTCGTGTTCTTTCAAGTTGTCTTTGTTCTCGTTGCTGTTTTTCTTCGTCTTCTCCTGTTGTTTCCTTGTTCTTCCAAATATCACCATACACTTGACGAAAATTAATTAATCAAAGCTGTCAAGACTATTCAAGGCTATCAAAAACTTGTAAAGGTTCAAAAATAATTTGAAGTTTAAAAAAGGAAGATGACTCAACACGAAATCTTCGCGTCTTGTCCCGCACGACGGTCTAAAATAGGCCGCTGATAAAATCCTTCAACCATGGACTGTGAACAGTAACGATGTACTAATAATATTTAAAGAAATTTAAGTAAACTACCTATCAAAGTAATAGTGCTTCATCATGGTCAACACGCCTTGACCAAATTATAACAATGAAAAGACCAATATTGGTTATTGTCTCTGTATTTCGCGGTAAATGTATTTCTTTAGTGTTGATCTCTTGTACCCGCCCAAGAATTTTATAACGCGTGTCCAGTGAACAGTTTACATCTTGTCTTGTTAGGCTGCATATAAATGGACTAAATATTAAACAAAAGCTTGATGGACTTATGAACAATATAAATGTATGGTTTACGCTGATTTACGAATTAAGGTCAATATTATTTATAGCTGGCTATAGAAATTTTGATAGCAAAGCTCTTAACAATCGGTTTGAATGAGGTATTATCAATGAAATGTCAAAGGAAGACACTATATACTCATGGCTGCAGTGATAATTAAGCAAAGTAGATTGCAAATTTACCTGTTAAATTTGCAAAGTAAGGTTACATTTGATTTTTGATTTGTCGGTAAGCAATTTTATGCTTTCATAGTTTGCAAAACTGCAATTTGTCTTGAATTTGACTCGCGTTCCAAAGGAAACTTAATGTTTGCTCTCATCACGAACTTAAATTGAAGTCTTGTAACAAACGTGCAAATCAGTTGAATATTGTCTTGTCGCTTACATAGTGAAGTTCCAACATAGGTCCCGCCCCTATTTCTGGTTAAATACCTCCATCACAACCCAATCGGAATCTTTAGGAGTAACATTCGTAACTTGCCATTTTCTGTCTTTTTATATTTAGCATCTTTTCGTCAATTTTAAAACTATCCCGTTCCCTGCCTGTCAAAATGAGCAAATCCCGTTCCCGCAAATCCCGCATCCCGTCAAACCTGTGTTAGACCCTCCATATTTCCGTAATTGTATACTGAAATTTGCTTGTTTCTCTAGACTTCTTCTTCAAATGCTGTGAAGGCCACGTTGTGAGACGTGTCGGTGGTAGCCATGCTAAGTGCTGCGGCACACACACCTACGATTCCCGCTTCTTCTTCTGCTATCAAAGACATATCTACCCTCTCTGCCGCAAGCTGACCTACAACCCAACGACCCAGCAGTGCTGCACTGGTGTAGTCAACCCTCGAATAGGCGGCGGCCACAGCTCCTGTTGCCACACCAAGAGTTACGATGGCCGCGTTAACTTTTGTTACGAGAAGAAAGTGTATGGAAGGTGTCAGAGCAGATCGTACAACCCTAACTCCTTCATTTGCTGCGAAAATAAGATCAGACCCCACTTTGGCGGACTGGACACGAAATGCTGTCAAGACAGAAGTTATGATAGCAGAAGGTAGGTGACAACACTTTGATGGAGCTCTCTAACAGAAGCTTGTAGCTGTCCGAGTTTTGTTTACTAATTAAATGAGATCGACAATCAAATTAACATAAAGTCTATCAAGGTAAATATTTTCTGAAATCATTTCATAAAGTTCATTTTGAAGAGAACGTCAGTTCTGTCTGCTCACAGATTTTTTTTCATGTGGATGTAGATACCTTGGTTTCTTTTTGACATTTTCATTAACTGCGTGGAAATTTGCCACAAACTCAGACGGTAAATCCAAAATATACATTTTAAAAAGTGCCATGCTCGAAAACCATAAACTGACCTAACACTTTTTTCATGACAACCTTGTCGTATGAATTATTCACTAAATTAAATGGATTGGTGATACGTTTTTTTTTTTCCAAATAAAATGTGACAGGCGACAATTTCTTTAATACTGTCATGTTAATCGTTTTTCTCTGTACGATTCAACAGGTATTTTTGCTTCAATAAACAAATCTATCCGCAGTGTTTCAAGAAAACGTACAATCCTTCATCGTACATCTGTTGCCAGAACAACTTCTACCAGCGCCCCGGTGGCAAACATGCGCGGTGCTGCGAGAAAAAGGCTTACGACTCGTCCCTCAACTTCTGCTACAAAGGCACCATCATTCGCAAGTGCGGTAGCAGAGTGTACGACCCTACACACTTCCTCTGCTGCAGTGGGCACATGAATCCACAATACGGTGTAAAACAAGGACAATGCTGCGGAATTAAGAGCTATGATTCGCGACACTTCTTCTGCCATGCCAAAAAGATCTACAAGAAGTGCGGAGGAAGTGTGTACAATATCCAGTCGTCATTCTGTTGTAACAACTTGGTCGCGTCTCGGAGTAGTTACGGTAGCTATGCCGGCTGTTGTTATAACCGTACCTATGACTCGCGCTCTGAGTTTTGCTTCAGCAGCAAAGTGCACAAGAAATGCGGACTGATGCCTTATAATCCCGTCAAGAATCTTTGCTGTTCCAAACGCGTGGTGCCCAGGATTGGTGGAAGCTATACTGCATGTTGTGTCGCACGAAGCTATGATTCACGCCAATACTTCTGCTACGGAAGCAAAATCATTTCTTTGTGCGGGAAGAAGCGTTACAACCCAGTTGGCGAGATCTGCTGTGATTCCGTGATTGCTAAGCGCAGGGGTGGGTTGTATGCGAAGTGCTGCGGTAAAAACAGCTACGACCAGCTATCGGCCTTTTGCTACGAAAAAACTGTTCACAGGTAAGTACATGAACGTCTTGTAGATGAAAAGATAAATTAATCACTCTTTTTAAATCCATAACAAAGAGAAAATGGCCTACGAACTTTTCCTAGAAATTCCACGTGCTCTATGACCATCAAAATTAGATTCAACTCAACTCAAATCATATCAAACGAGGTTCAGATGCAATTTCGAACTAAAGTTTTCTCTTGCTCAGATACTACAGTTGTTTATGTCGTAAGTTGTACAAATTAAAATTTTTGCAGTTTCTAACTGCCTTGTAAATTTCAAATTTCATTTTAAAATTCCGTACGCGAGTATAGCAATTCGATTTAATATAGGTTAAGCCATAATATGCGGATCGGGCTCACTCTTGCTTTAGCATTTTAAAACTCACTTTTATGTTTGTTCAAAGCTTTATGAATTCGACTCTAAGTTTGATTTTTTTATTAGTACTCCACTAAGGAACAAAATGATTCGTCGTATGACTTCAAATTTCAGTTCTCGTTGAGTAAATTCATAATCGTTATCAAAACTTTTTGCTTAAACAGCAAATGTGGAAAGAATCGTTACAACCCCACTCGTCAACACTGCTGCGTTGGGCGAGTCGTTCCTCGAGTTGGCGGCTACGGTGCCAAGTGCTGCGGTGCAAACAGCTACGACTCCGCGTCGTACTTCTGCTACGGTGGGCGCGTCTTACGAAAGTGTAACGCCAGCAGCTACAACCCCACCAGTCACCTCTGCTGTAACGGTTACGTGGTTCCCCGATTGGGTGGGGCTGCTGCCCGTTGCTGTTCACGCTACAGTTACAGCTCACTGACGCACTTCTGCCATTCAAACAAGGTGTATGCATTATGTGGAAAGATCGAGTACAATCCTTATAGCTTCATGTGCTGCAACGGGTACGTGACATCCCGAGTCGGAGGCAGTAAGGCCAAGTGTTGTGGTTATCTGAGCTATGACGAGACCAGTTACTTCTGCCTTAAATCCAAAGTATATCCACTCTGCCAAAGGAGGAGCTACAACCCAAGCGTGACAGTCTGTTGCCTTGGCACCCAGCAACCACGCATTGGAGGGCTGGCATCCAAGTGCTGCGCTAATGTCTCATACGATTCTCGCATCAACTTCTGTTACAATAAAGTGGTTTATGGTCGCTGCCGGCAACAAGAGTACAATCCCGGCACACATCAGTGCTGTAGTGAGTATCTGGTAGAACGCGCTGGTTCAAATTCCCGTTGCTGTGGTCAAAAGAGTTACCACCCTGACAAGTTCTTCTGCAGCCATAATAAACTGTATGCTCTGTGTGCACACAGCTCATACAACCCTCTAGGGGACCTCTGTTGTGCCGGTTCCTCCATACCGCTCGGCAAAGTTCCTCTGCGGTATGCCAGTTGTTGCGCCAAGTCGGTGTACAACACCCAGTCGTACTTCTGTTTCCAAGATGTGGTGTATCTCAAATGCGGAAGCCAGGCTTATGATCCTCGCAGCCAATCTTGCTGTAACGGAAAAGTCTTGCATTTGGTGGGTGGTCAATACTCCAGATGCTGTGGATCAGTCAACTACGATTCAAAGGATTACTTCTGCTACAACAACAAGACGGTTATACACAAGTGTGGCAACAAAATATACAATCCTGCCAGGTAAGGATAGAGCAGTAGCTGATACTGGCCTGTTATAGCATTGCAAAACCCAAGAAAGAAAAGCACCTTAATACGTTTTAGCTGGTCGATATGCTTAACAGGCAATCAAAGGCCAATTTTAAACCAACACTGCCCATCAAATTATATTAAAAAGAAAGAATATGTACTGGAGGTTCGTTTTGGTGAACATTTGAATTTTCTTTTCAGAAAATTGGTCTTACTTCAGCGTTTGTTGTCCAATTTAACATGNAAAAAAAAAAAAGAACAGCAGCAACACCAACAAAACGATAAACCGTAGCTATGACGAAGTGGTTAGTTTAAAATACTAAGAAAATTATGTTTCTTATAAGTGTTCCCGCTCTTTTTATCTTCTAGTGAACAATGTTGTGCCGGTAAAATTGGCCGTAGTTATGGAGCAAGATATTCCGACTGCTGTGGAAGCCTAGCATATAACTCACACGACTCATTCTGCCATGGAGGCTCAATCTATCAGCGGTGTAACTACAAAAGCTATGATCCTGTCTCGTTCATGTGTTGCAACAAAGAATTAGTGCTGCGTGCTGGAGGAAAGGACACGAAATGCTGTGGCAAAAAGAGTTATAATAGGTGAGGTGTTATGGGTCTGGAGAATGCAATGTTGCCTTTAATCGAATTTTGCTGTACCGATCACCACTAGAAATACCAACATATGGTAAAACGCTTAATTCAGCCAAGCACTTTCGAGTTAGCTGGCATTTACAAACCGACCTTTGGACCCTATAGAGCGGGATTGATCACAAATGTCCAAAGGGTACTACTGTTAGAGTTTGTATGGAGCTCTGTAGGAGTTTGTCCAGATTTGAAATATTCGATCAAAAACTCTGATAAAATATCTAGTACGTCTTTCCTTTAAAATAAAAAGCCACAAGAAAGTAAAACCGTAAACTGGTTTTCTAACATTTCTATATACATTCGAACGATTTTGGGTTTTAACAGTCTGACGCGAAGTAGAGAGAGAAAACTCCATACAAACTATTATAGCACACTTTGGTTATCTGTGTTTACATTTTTGTATGGTTTAACACAGGAATTATTAATACATTAAAACCAGGGCGTAACCTAGTTCTACTTTTGTCTTTGTGTGGGTTCAAATCTTTAACGTTGAAATGGTTCAATCCCTCTTTTTTCTACATGTACTTCAATGAATTCATTTAATTAATAGCCCACAATGCAAACTACTGGGTTACCAGTAATTGTGTCAGCTATTAAAGTGTTTTATTTATTTATTTTATTTAATTGACTGTTAATTACGAGTCGGGTTTTCTGTACAATCGAAGCTTCCATAACGTCTCCAAATTACATAACGCAATCCCTTAATATTGTATGGGTAACACAGTCATTTATATATTCCAATTTGTTTCTTCCCTTCTTAACTATGTAACAGCCGCCAATTCTTCTGCCACAACGACACGATCATCCACCTGTGTGGTAGCAGCGCCTATGATCCGACCAAGTCCACCTGCTGTGGCGGTAGCCTGGCAGTTTACGGTCGCGTTCCCGCAGCCCATGCCAAATGCTGCATCAGCTATCTGTACGACGGCAGAAGTCATTTTTGCCACGGCGGCAAGACGTACCTGAAGTGCGGCGCCGCAGCGTACACGCCGGATACCTCGCAGTGCTGTGACGGTTCAGTTGTTCTACAGAAGGGAGGGGCGCTTTCACAGTGCTGTGGTAAAGAAAGCTACAATTCTTACTCGCACTTCTGCTTCCAAGGAAAGATCACTCCTAAATGTGGAAATAGCTCGTATGGACTTACATCACACCTGTGTTGTGCTGGATACGTTCAGCCTCGTACCGGGGGAAACTACGCTCGGTGCTGCTCGGCTGAAAGCTACGACAGCTCCAAGTCTTTCTGTTTCGGTGGCAAGATATATCAGCGTTGCGGAGGCCACGATTACAATCCTACCTCCTTCATCTGCTGTGGAAACATGCCGGTGACCCGTGACGGTGGTCTTACTGCGCAATGCTGTGGAGTGAAGAGTTACGATTCCCGGTATTACTTTTGCGAGCAAAGGAAGATTTACACCCTATGCGACAAGAAGAAGTATGACCCATCGAAGTTTAAATGCTGCGATAACGCGCTTAATCCGCGGTTTGGAGGAAACCAGACAGATTGCTGTGGCAAGCGAGCGTATGCCAGTGACCGCTTCTTCTGCACCGGTGGCCAGGTTGTCCCCCTTTGTAATTACGCTCGCTATGACCTGAACACTCAAAAGTGCTGTGGCAATACCCTGACACCCAAGCAAGGAGGACAGCATGCCAAATGCTGCGCCAGAGAAAGCTACGACTCCAGCCGCTACTTCTGCTACAATGACACTGTGGTGACTCTGTGTGGAGGAGCCAGGCCATACAACCTTGCCAGCTCCCTGTGCTGCAATGGTACGGTACAACAGCGGGTGGGTGGTAAAGATGCCAAATGCTGTGGCCCGAGCCCGTACAACTCTCAGTCTCATTTCTGTAGCGGTAACCAGGTGTATACCAAGTGCGCAGGCGCACCGTACGATCCATACACGGGTATCTGCTGTGGTTCAAAGCTCAATCCTCGCCCATATGGTGCAGTGCTGAAATGTTGTGCGAACAACGCCTATGACCCGTCCATATTTGTCTGCCTTTGGGGAACAAAAGTTGCACCGAAGTATGACAAGGCCGGATACCAGTGATAGATTTTTTGTTTTGTTTTTATAAATTCACGATTGCCATTTTGGCATGAACTTAGCACAGCCTATAGGACCATATAGTTTTACTGTATTACAAGAAAACGCACTCCTCAGAGATAGCATTTACTTATGACACGAATAGTTAGGTGCATTAATAATGGCGTGTAATGTTTGCTGCCGTTTTCAATTTCGTAAATAAAATTTCACATTTGTGACTTGGCCTAGTCACTGTTTGCAGAGGATCTGACTGGGTGGTATAAAGTCAGCTAAAATAATCGCTAGGTGTCTTCTCTCAGTTTTCAGTTATTGTTGCGATTCTTGTCAGCTTACCGAAAAACTTCACCATTGGAGTTTTTCGGCGGTTGAACTCCACGGCGTGCGACGTCAGCCACGATGTGCGATACGCGAGCGTGAAAGTCAGCGCTCCGCGAGACTTACCTTTTTCACCTTCATGCTCCGGCTCTGCCTTGTTAAACCGTTTGTTATGCAGGCTACTGCCGCGAAAGCTTATTGTAGCTACCCCCAGATATTAGACACGTTTTAATTTTCCAGAGATCTGAGATAGCTTTGTAACTAGCGAGCAGTCTTCCATGTAGAGGACCTCACACGTGAGCGTTCAAGACGCGAGAAGCGAAACGAGCAGGCCGGAAAAACTCCCACTCGAGTTTACATGCCGCCTCGCTTTCGGGGCTTAATCACTCTCGTGCGAGAACCTCATGCGCGGGCTTGTTTCGAGATCAACACATACTTTGTAGCTGTAAAACAGCCATAAAATGTACCGTGTTGGGGGAGTATTACCCGGGGGGGG